TTGTCCTTTTTTTGCGGGTGTACCGATAGTTAGTAAGTATTGAAAATAGAACCAAAATACAAAGGTGAATTAACCATGGGATTGGAAGCTGTCTTTTCTTTTTTCTTTTCTGTTGTTGTTTTGTTTGTTGTTTTGTTTATGTTTTCATGTGGTTAAATGTTAAAAACAAATAAAGACTTCAATTACAAAAAACAAACAAACACGAGACTAGACAAGGACACGAGGCTAAGCAGGGAAGCTAAGGGAGAGGAGAAAAGTGCGACCGCCTTCGTCAAGAGCAAGAGAGAATGGCTCTTCTCTCAGTCCTTTGTATTTCTCTAGCTTCTCGTGTTTCTTCTTCCCGATGTTGCTATCACTCTGCATAGCTACATTTATCACTGCGGTCACCTTCCTTTGCTTGTCCACCACCACTTGTCCCGTTGGTTAGCCATCACTAGTTTGGCGGTGTGTAGTCCAACAGGAATTTGGCTCGGGCATTCCCAACCACTTTTTTAAAACCTGTCCTGTCCAGCAGTTGTAGAGCACTGAAAATCGCTGTGTACTGGCAGAGGTGGGAAATAACGAAGTACAAATACTTCGTTACTGTACTTTAGTAGAATTTTCAGGTATCTGTACTTTACTTGAGTATTTTATTCTGAAAACTTTTAGCTTTTATTCCCTACATCTTCCTACACAAATATCTGTACTTTATACTCCTTACATTTTCAAAACAGGCTCATTACTTTTGGTTTAACGCATTTGAGGGGAGTTATTATTTCACGTCACTGTCGGGCTTCAAACACATAACTTGCAGTTGCGGTACTTCAGCATCTAGCTAGACGAGCGACCATAAAGGTGTAACATGTTGTGGCAGGTAATTTCAAATGCAACATTTCTATCAGCTCAACAAACATCAGCAAGCACACAAACTGTTTGTGTGCAGTTTGCCGCACGGTGTGTGGCTAGCTAAAGGTCCAGCTGCTGTATTTCACAGGCAAAGATTAAAAGAGAGCTAACTTCACTCAGAGATAGAGAAATATACGAAACAGAGGACAGTAGAGAAGAAGAGAGATTAGATTTAAACGTAAGGACTGCTCAGTGGTCTTTGATAAACTGGAAATCTAAAACTTACATATAAGTCCTACTGTGTATAAATCATATATTGGGTCTGTAAAATTATGTTTTTTCATGTTGTGAAACATGCTGCAAAACAAACTGATATCAGACTAACTGTGTTATTTAACCCTTTAAAGCCGGTCGGAGTGGACACGCTCCGTTTTGCGTAACTATTTTAAAATCCCTGTAGAACCGGAACCACGTGAGCTAGCGCAATAATTTTTTTTTGCATATGAAACCGGAGGAGTTGTACTTACATCTTATGCCATTAGCTTGTCCTAGGTCACGGTTTCCTTCCACATTTGGCTTTGCAAAAATTGCATTAAAAGCGCTTACAGGAACAAAAACATAATATTCCAGAAACACGCTTTGCCGATCCGTTCAGCTGTTCGTAACACTTCCCACATTGAAACAGACGTCAGCGCCAATGCTCGCATGTCCGCCATTACCTGCCCGAAACTGGAAGTGACGTCATTTTCACGGAAAATGTAGTTTTTTACATTTGGGCCTCTTCCCGGAAGATCATCGGTGGAGGTTCTGGGGCAACCAGATGACTGCAGAGGATCATCGGCCCGGAAGCAGCTAGGTGGCTGCATCTCGCGCTGTCAGATAGAGAGGCACGGATGCTGGCTCGAGTGATCCTGGAACTGTTCGTGGACAGGCTGCCTTGGGAAGAGATGCTACGGTGGATCTGCTGACAGTGAGCCTCGAGATTGTGGTGACCCTAGCAGAGGACCACCTGGCCACACAGATTGAGGGAGTGGGGAGTCACCACCAACCAGCAGACCACAGCCAGTGCCGGCACCGAGTAAGAGGGGCCCGCAGCGGAGCCGCCACTGCAGCTTACCCATGAACCCTTTCCTGTCAGACCTGTCATCCCAGGCCCCAGAGGCAGCAGACACTGGTACCGAGCCATGGAGGGTAGCGCAAATGCCAGGGCAGGAGTGTTAAAAGTGTGGTCAGCTGGGGCTCCTGAGATGGAAGTGTCTGCTGATGGCAGTGGGACAGGTGTTCCATGTTGCCTGGGCTCCAAGACTTTCCCCTGGTCCAGGACTGACATAGTGTATTCTGGTAAGGTGTCAAGGAGGTATATGCCAGGCTTTTGTAGACATGGGCTGCATGCAGATCCTGGCCCACCAAAGCCTGGTTTGCCCAGGGCATGGTCACAGGGATGTTCACGAGTATCCCATAGTGCCGCTGCTCATTAAATTTAAAGGCGGAATGCATAGAGTGAAGGCTGCAGTTAGTTTGCACCCGTCACATCCCATAAATCTGAGCACAAATTACCTGGGGTTTCAAAATCTGTTGGGGCAGTATGTGGGGATGTGATCATGACCTTTAGTAGCATGTGGCATCTGTGCTGTGTTCAGCGGGGACACAGGGTTGTCTGATGTTGACTCAGGGGAGGAGGAGACATGTCTCGCACACTTACAGAGCTGTACAAATTATTGGGCATTAAATCTGTTCGGACCAGCGTTTACCACCCTCAGACTGAGGGGTAGCTGGAGCGGCCTGAACAAGACTGAAGGCTATAAAAATTATGAACAGAACTGGTGACAAAGAGGGGCCTAGGCTGGAGTCCAACCCCCTCCTGGAAATGAGTCCCACGCATTGCTGGTTATGTGAACTAAGCTCTTGCAATGATTGATAAGGATCGAATGGCCCATACAAATGAGCCACACACGCCATAATCCTGAAGCACCTTGTAAAAGTCACAATTGTGTGGTGTCTCTTTAAGACAGCCTAAGTTAACGTTTAGTGATGTCACAGGCAGAGATGGGCAGTAACGCGTTAATTGTAACGCGTTACTGTAATCTGATTACTTTTTAAAGGAACGAGTAAAGTAAGGGATTACTATTGCAAAAACGGTAATTAGATTACCGTTACTTTCCTGTAGGAACGCTGCGTTACTGCGTTACTAAAACCGTGATTTT